AGAGACAATCAGAGAGACGAACAGACAAACACAGAGACAAACAGAGAAATGGAGACCAACAGACTGAAACGGTCTTGTCTGAGCGGTTCCGACCACCACCCCTAGCGCAGCGAGGTGGAGCTGATGCTCCTCCTTGCTGCGAAGGTGCCACTCAACCCATCTCCCACATCCCACAATCTACTCTCCTACCCTCCTACTGAGGAGATAAACCGCACCCTAGCGCCCAGGTTTTGTACTCACCTTTTTCACGTTTTTGCACTATTACGGTAAATGTTTGCATGCATTTTCTCTCTCCCCCCCCCCCCCCCCCCCCCCCCTTTGAAAGGGCGATAGCCTTTGAGATATTAGCATCGAACTGACCAGGCCCCCCAGGTTTAAAAGTATTTTCAACACATTCGTCTAGTTGCACCTAGATTCGAACTCAGGGTTTGTCTTTTTCAACGGTTCATGGGTGTACCTACCGACTGAGCTAGCTCTATAACGCACCCCAAAAATGAATGTATACAAGAGATATTTCCGGCCAGGTACAGCCAAAATGAGGGTGCGTTGTGTTCGGGGGAAGACGGTAGTTGCCCCTGGATTCGAACTCACCACTGCTCGAGTACCTGCGAACCGTAAAACCGTTGCACCTGGATTCGAACTCAGGGCTTGTCGTTTTCAGCGGTTCATGGGTGTACCTACCGACTCAGCTGGCTAGAGAGAACTCAGGGCCCTGAGTTCGAATCTCGTTGCACCTGGATTTTTTAACTCAGGGTTTGCCGTTGGTCCGTAGGTTTGTTGCGTACCTGTGTTTCCCTGTAGCCATCTCCACACTAGATAGAACTCAGGATTCGAACTCACGGCTATGTTCATCCGGTCTATTCTATGTGTCTATTCCATCTTCGCAGATTCTTCTGCCTATTCATACTGTAGAACTAGAGATATGTCCTGTCTGATGATTATTCTGTCTGTATGGGCCCTCTGTCGCAACTAAACCAGCCGATTCCCCAGCCAAAAAAAAAAAAAAAAAAAAAAAAAAAAAGAGGACCCAAAAAATCCGGAGAAAAAACTTAGAACTATGTTATGCAGAAAAATAAACTGAGCAACTTTTGCTCCAGGGTCACATCGAAATTCTTTACCAAATTCAAAATAAAATTTTAAATTAAAAAACATTTTTTTTTTATTAAATATATTCTTTTATTTCTTTTTGGCCCCGCTGTGCAAGTGGACCCGGGCCACTCCGGTAGCCTAGGTTGTGACAATTTCTTATTTATTTTAATTTCCCGGCCCGGCTGGGCAAGTGGTCCCGGCCCACTCTAGTAGCCTAGGTCTCCACTCTATCTTCTGTCCATGCATTGCACAGTTTAAACAGCTTTTTTTTTTTTTT